AATATGCTCTTGTGTGTCTTGAAGCTTGTAATGATTTCGCAGTTTTGTCATTTATAAAAGAATAACTAGGGGCCAGCAGTTGGTGTGGTGGTTGGGTGCTTGACTTCCGTATGACCAGCCATAGTTCCAGTCCCAGACTCAGCAGCTTGCTTTCTCACCTTCTCTCTCTGTTTATCTCTGTCTCACTCTGGTCAATTGAAAATAGATATAATGATAAATAAAATAAAGTAACTAGTTAAAAAAAATAGTATGTAAATAAAAATTGAGACATAAATATAAATACTAAGAATGAAAATAAAATTTAAAAATTTAACTTATAAATGAACTAATTGTCAAAAGTATAATAATGTTTTTTTAATTTTTAAATTTATTTATTATTTTATTTTTTTTGTTTGGTTTGGTTTTTGTTTTTTTGGGGGGGAGGTTTTGGGTTGTTTTTTTGGTTTTTTTTTTTTTTTTTTTTTTTTTTTTTTAAAGGGGGGGGGGTTTTGCCAGCAACCAGACAGACAGAGAGAGACAGAGAGACAGAAAGTGAGAAATCACTCCCCGGGGGGGATGGCCATGCCGCAAACCCTTCTCCTCCGTTCTCCTCTCGGGATCCTGGGCACGCACACACACGCGCCCGGTGTGAGTTTTAAGCCACCGGGTCCAGGACACGAACTGCGGTCGGCTACGTGGGAGTCCAGTGACATAGCCGTTACGCTAACTGCTGGTCCTATTTTAGTTTTTGTTATAGGGCATGTACACATGCCAGAAAGAGACACTGAGGGAGGGAGAGAGAGAAAAATCACGCCCCCAGGGGGGATGGCCATGCTGCAGTCCTTTCCCCAGTCTTCTTCTAGGGGTTTCGGGAATGCAAACATACATGCTTATTATGATTTTCCAAGCTGCCAGCTCTGGGACTTGAACCATGCAGCCAACCATGTAGAATCCAGTGCCTTAACCTCTATGCCATCTGCTGGCTCCATAATATTTTTACACATCTTAAATTTATTAGTGAAATTCCAGAAACATCCCTATATACTGAGTGGTAAAACTGTTCGTAGTAGCCACTAGAGGTAGTATGATCCTGTGAAAAATGTTATCAACTTTGAAATATGTAAATATATTCACTAGATATTATATACAGTAACATTAATTCAATCCTTTGTCTTCTACTGTACCATTGAAAGAGTAAGACCCTTGTTGCAATTGTGTCCTTCTGATGTCAGATTTTGTTGCATAGCTTAAAATTTAGCATAGCAAAGCAGTCAGGTCAAGAGATGAGAACGAATCACATTAACCACTCACCCTGAGCAGTCTCTGGAGGCAGAGAGTCGGTCATGAGTCCCTAGATGTCCCAGGAATCTGCTGAGGCTACGTAGACAGAGGGGCCAAGGACTGGCAGAATCTCAGGACCAAGGGTCAGCAGTCTGAAAGCTGCTAGAAGGGTTGTGTTCTGGTCATGGCTCCAGGGGAAAAAAAATGACAAAGTGGCTCTAGTGAAGGTTCTTCTTTTGCCTCAAAATAGACAGATTTTCTTAAATTTGCACATGTGCCTAAGATTAACACAAGAAAGAAGCAAAACATATAAGGGACACAAAAATGGAAAATTATCTGTTGATGGTAGAGTATGATAATATTTTGAGTCCCAGATTTGGTGACTTGCAAAAATCAGGGCAGGCATATGTGCATGCATGCCCAAAATCCTGAGAGGAGAATGGAGAACAGATTGTGGTGTGGCTATTCTCACTTTCTCTCTCTCTGGGGGTGATTTTTTTCACTTTCTCTCTCTTTTTCCCCCTCTCTCCCCCCCCCATGTTGTCTCACTCTGGGAAGTAAATGCACCCTATAGCCAAATCTACAAATAAATAAAGAATATAAGAATTTTCAAATAAAAATAAAAGTGTACCAAATAAGAAATCAAAACCTGTGATGTCATTGGGTAGACTAAATAATGTCCAAGATTTTCACATTAACCCCTGTATCGTTTTGTTATCAGTGGAGATACACCAAAACTGCTAACTTCATTAAGAGTTCAATCAGTCCTAATAGTGAATATATTTCATATTGTTATCTTATTTTTGGAAATAAAAGATTCTATCATTTGCTTTACTTTTAGAACCACATGTAGAGGTTATTCTTATATACTCTAGTATGAATAAAACTTTTTTCTGTCTGAAAATATTTTAATAACTATGAATTATACTAAACAAAAGGATATAATTAATGTTTCTCTCCCTCTCTCTCTCTCTCTCTCTCTGTGTGTGTGTGTATGTGTGTGTATTATTTTTCCCTCTGATTAGAAATAATTGGATTAAATGTGCCAATTCAACCTCACAGCATCAACTGAATTCATTCTGATGGGAGTCACACGGCAGCCTGAGTGGCAGCTTCCCCTTTTTGGGGTCTTCCTCATCATCTACACAATCACAGTGCTGGGCAACCTGGGCATGATCATTTTGACCAAGCTCGACTCCCGCCTCCACACGCCTATGTACTTTTTTATCAAACACCTGGCTTTCATTGATCTTGGTAACTCAACTGTCATTTGTCCGAAGATGCTAGTAAATTTTGTTGTGGATCAAAATACCATTTTCTATTACACATGTGCTACACAGATGGCTTTCTTCATTATGTTCATCATTAGTGAACAATTTGTCTTGTCAGCCATGGCGTACGACCGTTATGTGGCCATCTGTAACCCGCTACTGTATAATGTTATCATGTCTCAGGGACTATGTCACATGTTGGTGGGGATTTCATACCTCTACAGCACGTGCCAGGCTCTGATGTTCTCTATTAAGATTTTTACATTGACCTTCTGTGGCTGTAGCTATATTGCTCATTTCTACTGTGATCCTATTCCCTTGTTACCTATGCTCTGCTCCAGTGCAGAGGAAATAGAATTGTTGGCTATTCTAGTTTCAGCATTTAATTTGATCTCCTCCCTGCTGGTGGTCCTGGTATCTTACATGCTGATTCTGTTAGCCATACTTCGAATGCATTCTGCAGAAGGGAGAAAAAAGGCTTTTTCCACCTGTGGTTCTCATCTCACAGCAGTAGCTGTGTTCTATGGGTCTCTCTTCTTTATGTATTTACAGCCCAAATCCACTCACTCCTATGATACAGATAAAATGGCCTCTGTGTTTTATACATTAGTGATCCCCATGCTTAACCCCATGATCTACAGTTTAAGAAACAATGAGGTAAAAAATGCCTTTTTTAGGGTCCTTAGCTATTGATCAATATTTGTATTTAATAATTAACATGATTTATGAACATAATATAAGATATAGGCAAATGTTTTTTGATAATATTTCTAACATATACATTTGTATTCTTTTTGGTTTCTGAGGAAAGACTAATAACACAAAGACAAATCATGGAATTTTTTACACTAGCCAAATTAACTCTTTTTTTAAAATATCAATTGAATGTCACTTCCTTATTAATATTCCTATGTATGACTCAATGTTTCCATTAGAAATTTCAAGGTAACTCATTTATTTTTATTGTAACACTTGTTAAACTGTAATTGTAAACTATGTGTGTTTTTCTTTGTTTTATTTTGTTTCTGGTTTTTGTTATAAGGAATATGCACTTGTCAGAGAGAGAGAGAGAGAAAGAGAGAGGGAAAGTAAGAAGTCGCCCCCCCACACACACAGGTGGATGACCCTGACACAATCCCTTCCCTTCTTAAGATTTTGAGCATGCAACGCACATGCCTAGCATGCTCATCAAGCTCCCAGGTCCAAGTCTTGAACCACGTAGTTTGCAATGTGGCATCCGGCTGCCTTAACCACCATGCCACAAGCTAGCCCATGTGTGTTTCTTTGACATTTCACTTTTTTAATATGATACTCTACAGCCATTTTGTTAACTGAAACAACAGTGTAAACATAGAGAATCTCTTGCAGACAGCATGTATTTGAATGTTTATTTTAATTAAACTAACTTTTGATCCTCTGCCTTTCAATTGGACACTATAGTTCATGTATACTTAAAATAATTTTGAATAAAAGAAGACTTACTTCTGGTACATTGCTTTTTGTTTCCTACATGTAATATATTACAGTGTTTGTTGCTCATCTTTTCCTGCATTACAAGTTTCTATTGACTTTGTGGCTCAGCACTCAACTGTGGTTATGTATATTGAAAGTCTGCTAAAATATTAAAAGTATGACCAGGGAATTATAAACTGACAAATTACCAAAAACAAAGCAGGTAATAAGGCTTCAAAAACCTGGAATGTAGTGTCAGTCCTTGTTCCATATGTGAATATCCAAGAGAAAATCTCAGAGACAAAATCTATTTAAGACTCCTACTCCTACAAGAAAAAAAAAAAAAAAGTCTTCAAAAAGACTTCCTTCAAAAAGACTTCAGGGACCAGCAGTTAGTGTAATGGCTATGTCACTGGACTCTCACGTAGTCGACTGCGGTTCGCGTGCTGGACCCAGTGGTTTAAAATTCACGCCGGGTGCGTGTGCGTGCATGCCCAAGATCCCGAGAGAAGAATGGAGGAGAAGGGATTGTGCCGTGGCCATCCCCCCTGGAGGGTGATTTCTCACTTTCTGTCTCTCTATCTCTCTCTGTCTGTCTGGTGAGCACACACGCCCTATAGCAAAAACCTTTCCCAAAAAAGCCTTTAAAAATTCTGTCTTAAATCATTTAGCATTCCTTAACAACAAAATACAGTCATCTTTAATATAAAATTTACAATGAACGGCATCAAATAACAAAATATAAACAAATGAACAACATATGTGATCCTATCTAGGACATAATTAATCAAATAGATCTTGAAAGGAAAATAATATAATTAGTAAGTAAGGAATTTTAAACAGCTATTATAAGTACAATCAATATATTGTTTTATTTAGGAAAACAACATTTTAAATAAATAAGTGATTTTTTTTTTTACTAAAAATAAACAAATGGTGCAATATTAGACATTAAAAAAAATTGACGAAGGCCAGTAAGTAATGTGGAGGTGAAGGCAGGTGGGTCCTACATAGTGAGCTATGCAGTTTAAACCCTCAAATCAGCAACTTGAAAATCATTCTGAGGGGGTGTGTGTGTATGTGTGTGTGTGTGTGTGTGTGTGTATAAGCCCAAAATCCTGTGCAGAGAATGGAAGAGAGGGGATTACAGAATGATCATTTTCTCTGGGTGGTGATTTCTCGCTTTCTCTCTCTCTGTCTCTCTCTTTCTGTTGAGCACATGTGCTGTATAAGAAAACTAAAACACAAAACAAAATAAAGCAAAAACAAAACTTAGTGTATGTCTATAACGAAGGGCATTTGGAGGAGGGATACGGAGGCAGAGCATTGATGGGATGGGGAGGTGTGGTGTTATCTGTTGAAGATGTTTTGATCAACGGGTCTGGGGAGAAATGTGCACATATCGAAATGGTCTCATGGTAAGCCAAACAATATGATTGAAAGTATATACAAAAAACAAATAATAAATAATGTGAAAAAAAAAACAAACACACAAAAAACCAATAGATTATGCACTGAAAAAGAATAGCTGACTGTATTTAAAGTATATCAAAATAGAAATTATCCAAAATAGAGTGATAGATAAAACAAAATATTAGTAACTCTTAAAAAAATCATGATGACCTGCAGAACAATAACAAACTACACACCATAACTTTAATTGCAAATTGAAGTAGTGCACCAACAAAATAAAACCAAAACCTTTTGAAGAAATATTGGTCAGAATTTTTCAAAATTTATTTAAAGTCTTTTTAAAAATTTATTTCCATTTCTTTTATACATTCAGTCATGTTATTTAGCTTGCAAAGTGAATATTTCAACATGTGTGCATTTCTAACTAGCCCAGTTAACAATACTATAAAGTTATCTTCAACAGATAATAACCCATTTCTTTGTCCCATAAATGCTTTGCCTCTTTATTTTTCTCCTTGATGTCCTTCCTCAGACTAATCTTTCACCAATCCTCTCCCCACACTGTATCTAGTAATCACAAGCATTTACTATGTTTCTATATCCTTTAATCATTCAATTTCAGTCATAGAGTGTGGACACTTGGTACATATTAAGTGGAGACATGCAATGTCTCTCCTTCATAGCCTGGCTTGTTTTACTCAGCAGTAAATCTTTCATATTCATTCATTTTCTGTCAAATGCCAGGGTCTTGTTTTTTTTTTTATGGCTGGGGAGTATTCCACTGAGTAACCGTTCCTATCTATTCATTTGTTCATGGGCATTTGGGTTGATTCCATGTCTTAGCAATTATGAATAGTGCCTCAGTAAACATTGATGTGCAAACACTTTTCTGATTAAAAATTCTTTTGTCCTTTGGGTAGATAACAAGGAGTGGGATTGTTGGATCATATTGTAGTTCTATTTGCAGATCTTTGAGGAATCACCAATTTGTTTTCCATACTGGCTAGACCAATTTACATTCCCACCACTAGTGTAAAAGAGTTCCCTTTCACCACACCCCCACCAGCACTTACCATTTTTTATTTTATTAATTTTAGTAATTTTGACTGTTTTTTTAATTATTAATCTTAGTGAGATAAGAAGCTAAAAGAACTCGAAGCAAAGTAAACAGAGAAGAGATTGATACCAAATTACATCATAATCAAATTTCTCAACAGCAATGACAAAAAAATTCTTAAAAACAACCACAGCTAAAAATAAAATTCACTAGAAATAGTTGAAAGAAATTATTTACCACTTTGAAAACAGTAGACTATTCACAAATATGTGGAACTTGGTACTGAACTATCAACAGATGAAAGAACAAATCTAAGAAAAAAAAATTAAGTATCTTAAAATTAGTTTTGGAGGATTCACTTCACATGAACTTTTGAAATAATTTGAGAATTTGTATTAGCTCTTCTCTAAAAGATATATAAAATTTAGAAGTGATGTCATTAGTTCCTGGCTTCTCATTTTAGGAATACTTTTTATTACTGATTCAAGCACATTACTTATTATTGAGCTACTCAATCTATTTATTTCATCCTTTTCCAATTAAGGAACATTATTTGTGTCCAAACATTTATTCATCTCCTCTATTTTTCCAGTTTGTTAGCATACAGTTATTTTTTTTTTTGGTTTCTTTTTTTAAAAATTTATTTCTGTTACATTCATTCACTGAGTATCATCACAGCATATAAAATGTGATTTCCCATCTAGAATACACTGTACAGTGCCTTAATCATACATGTTATCATCAACAAATACTTTTCCATTTCTTGCTTTTATATATATATATACACACATATATATATGTATATATATGTATATACATATATATATATATATATAAATGTATATGTATATTTTCCCATTTCTCACCCTCTACCACTTCACACTCTGCCCACAATATCTTTGCTGTCTATAGGTGCTTTCCAGTCCTTCCCCCCATTTTATTGATTCACAAAATATGTTAATTAGTCTAACTACTTTCAGTAGCAAGTTCAGCCAATATATACATATCTGTGAACACATGTCTGACTTAAGGCATGAAACTGTGAATAGAATGAGCATACTATAAAGTAGCACCTAGCTGAGGCTATAGAGCTTACTGCAGTCATTAAATAGGTACTTTATTTTTTTCTTTTATTTTCAAGAAAAGCACTTTAAGCTTTAATAAATCAAAATTAAGAAAAACAAAAAAACTAAGAGATTTGCTTCAGACTTAAAGCCAGGAAGCAGGTCAGGATTCTGTTTAAATAGTAGATACATGAACTCATTGGCAGCTCAAGACAAGATGAAAATCATTAAATCTGGAAAACAAAGCACAGATATTCAAAGTGGTAAGGCAAAAACAATTTCAACCAATAGTACTGTATTCGGCAAGATTATTTTTCACATGGGAAGAAAAGATGAGAGCATTCTCAGATAAACAAAATCTGAAAAATATTACCAACTCCAGATCAGTTCTCCAAGAAATTCTGAAGGGAGTGCTGTACCAGGCAAATTAGATATAGACACACAGACATAAGAGTTCCAAAACAACAAGAGATTGGTCACCTTAATGATAAGGAGAAGTCTGGAGCTGAATGTTATCTTCCGGAATTTAAAATGGAAGATTGGACAAAATCAGAATATAGATTAAGTACATGAGACTGAACTGGTGAAATTACAATCTTATGACCTCTGACTAAAACATTACTAATTTTCTTCTATGGTTTGTTTTCCAGCATATAGTTTTTCAAGATAGTCTCTGATGACCTTTTGCATTTCTGTGGTCTGAGTTG